TTAAAATGAAGCATACATACAAGGGTTGCACCTCATCTGTGCTCCATAATCAATAGATAGCAATAAATAAGAATATGGAATGCATGTTTGTGATTTCTTTTTGAAGATTTCTTGTCCTCCCATTTGCCTCTTTTCCTTCTTGAATTTTATCAAGTGCTTAAAAAAATGCAAATTGATTATTCTAGATTGGGGATCCTCTATGCATTTCCAACTTACAAGGTTAGCAATCTCTTTAGCAATTTCAAGGCTATTTTATTCATCTAAACAAGAATTTTCCTACATGTCCTCTTACTTTTGTGGCCATAAAAACCATGGATGCTATGTAAGGATAAAGAGAACAGGAATCATTTTTCATTCATAAGAAATATGAAAGATTGATGATACGGGGAAGAAAGTGAGTATATGTGCTATGCAGTAGAATGTAAAATTGGCACTTTACCCAATTGAATTTGAAAAATAGTCCTAATAAGATTCTCTAAGATTTGACATTAAAACTGATGCTATGGGAGGGAAAGGGAGTATAATAACTCAATTGTAGTAACATTAATTAGCACTTTACCAAATTGAATTGGACAAAGAATCCTAAAAAGGTTATATAAGATTTTTCTTTTTTCTAATTTAAAATACATGTCTAATAATAAGTTTTTCATCTCAAGCTAGAAACTGAATTGTTTGAGTCATGCCAAAAAACATCTTTTCCTAATAATTAGGCAAAGCTATGGTAATGATAGTGGCAACAATGGCCAACAAAATTCCCACATAATGGTGTCTATGAGCTTGAAAATTCCGCAATCATATAAAATATAGGAAAGAAGAAGCTGCAAATAAGAAGTGATAGTGACCACATGAAACACACACAGAGACACAAAATGGGAGGATAGAGTAAAGTGAAAAGGCATATTTGTCATTGTATTGCATTGATAACAGAATGAGAAAGAAAAATCATGAACAGAATGCATTTGTGCCTGTGTTTCTTATGTGCATTTCCATAAACCATGAAACCAAAAATTCTGGATGAAGAGAAGAAAAGGCAAAACCTTAGCCCAGCAAAGAGAAGGGTCACAAAGCAATCAATCAACAGCATGCAAAGGGAAGGAAATACCTTAGCTCAGCTTTAGAATGCGCCACATCAGTTTGAACTGATACATGAGGAATGGTGATCAATTGGCTCTCATCAATGCCATATATCGCATGACCACAAATAAATCCTATTTGCCGACGCTTTGTCACTAGAATCAAATAATATGACTCCAGAAACTTAATGCAGCCTAAAAACACCAAAAGAACAAACACCAGTAACACATCCAAGCATCAAAAACACAAAAATACACATAAAATAGTAGGACCCAACACTAACCTGCAATACCATAAGCCTTCACTACAAAGTTTAGCCCCCCAGTGGCACGATTCCCTTCAGCAATTCGCTGAAGCAAGTTTTTTATTTCTTGTGGTGAATAAACAACTGGGTCTTCACTGATATTGAGATCAGACGGCTCTGATCGATCAATCTTCAATACTCGAAACAATTGCTTGTTCCTATCACTCCCAACTAGATAAAATCTCTGATAAAGAAAACCCAAAAATATCATATTAGTTTTATTATTCATGTTCTAATTTCTTCTGGAAACAATGAATTTCTTAATTAAACTAAAGATTCAAGAGATTTAAAAATTGACCATCAACCAATTCAAACTATTGGAACCGCAATTACACGAAACACTAAATACCGAAGATCCCCAAAATTCTACAGTTTTCAAATTTAATTTTCAAATTCCAAAACAACCTAGCTATATTCAAGTATGAATTTTAAATCAAAAGCGGTAAGAGAATGATTGAATACTGTTACCTGTCTAGTCTCGTAAAGTCTAAATTTCTCGAGCGTGTAAGAGTTGTGATCGGTTTCGGGGTCGTTGGAAGGATGGATTTTGGCGGAGACGTAAGGAGGGAGCTTGGATTTCGAATTATCCGATTTCGCCATGGAAATGGAGGTGGGTAGTTTGGGAATTTAAGAAATGGAGAAGAGGAAGAGCTAAATCGCCATGAATGTGTCTCTATTTGCAGGTGGAGTGGGGAGAGGGAGAGAATGGGAATTGGAAATGATAAGAGGGTGTTTTGGAGAAGCCATGGAGTTACATCCGTTTGTTTTTAATGTTTCATATTTTTTTTTAAAATAATTTTCTTTAAATTAATATTTTTTTATATTTTTAAAATATTTTAATATATTAATATAAAAAATAATTTATTAATATATTTTCAAATAAAAAATATTTTAAAAAATAATTACTGTTAAATTATCAAATATCCCTTAATCTTAACCGTAAACCTTAGAAAAATCATAATTTTTTTAAGGGCATTTATTTAATGCATTTATTCACACGAAAAGAAAAGATCAGTCAAGATCCAATTTAATTTATTAAAATTATTGTTATTAAATTTTATTTAAATTTTAACTCAATTAAGAGATCAAGTCTAGAATTATATGAGTTAATTTGAATAAATTAAAAAAATTAAAAAATAAATAGTTCACATGACATGTTATAAATTTTCAAAAATTATTTCAAAACTTTTTATTTTACATTAAAAAAATACTAAAATGGAGAATTTAAATTTTTTATTATACATTAAAAAAATATAATTTTTTTCGTGTAAATATAAAATATATATATTTATATATTTTTTATTTCACATTAATTTTTTTTTAATATTTATATAATAAAATTTAACATGGCTTAGTAACTAACAAGAAAAACTATGAAAATAAAAATATAAAATAAACTTATATTTAAAATAAATTTTTATATACATGAAGCATGTGTTCACTCTCTCTCTCTTATTTTGAAACATTAAAAAAACACTACCAAGAATTTAAATTATTAAATTATCAAAACAACTTTATTTTTTAATTAAAGTACTAGAATAATAATGTTTTTAAGAAAAATTGCACACAATAAAAGATATGGGCATTGTTAATTTTTTTTATTTTAATTGCAAACTAAAATATTATTTTTATAATTGTTAAATAAAAAATATCCAATATAAAATACTCAAGGTGGTGCCTCTAATTTGTATTGATAATCGATAATGATATATAAAATATGATAATCTTAGACATAATACACATAATGTATATTTTATGCAACAAAAATCAATAATAACAGAATATATATATTTCAATTTAATGTTGCTAAAATGGCAGAGAAGGATTTACGATAAAATGATTGACATATAAATTCTACATATAATCTACAATGTATATTGTGTGTGATTTAATGATTATATGAAAATTTGTAATTATAATATAATTTGAAATAATAAAAGATACTAAAATAACATAATCAAGATATTTTAAAAGAAATGTACATTCTAATATTCATTAATAATTGCTACGGCATTTTAACAACATTCAAAATTTGTCTTTTATCTATTTTTGAGGAAATTTAATATGGCTTCAGATGCTTTGACTGCCAAGAATTTGGGTTGAAGAGTTGTCCTTGTTCTGGGGAAGGAGGGCTGACACCAGAACAAAGAGGGGAAAGATAACACTAACAAAAGTCAAGTTACTCTCTCGTTTATGGAAAGGAAAATCAATCATAATTTTCATTGATCTAGCTTGTAGCAGCCTCTACTCTCATGCAACAGTGCTTTTCTTATTCAAGAATCAGAATCCTGTTGTTTTTCAGAAAAAGGAAAGGATATATCAACATTCCTACTCTTAAAACCAGAAATCTGTCGTTAACAATTCAACTCTGGCTACAAATCCAACAAAACCTATGAAATTTTTTGAGGAAAGCACTGTAAATCTGCAATGTTTCTTACATATGGCCATTATGGAAATTCCAAAATGTTCTATATTTTAGCTTTTAATGGGTTTGGAAATTAGGGATGGAGATGTGCTTTGTGCTTGTAGGAGAAATTATGCACAAGGGAAACATGATTTATTTGGAACAAATTGTTCTGTAGAATTTGTTTTTTATTAAAATGTCTTTTTTTTATGAAGCTATAAAATGTCTTTGCAAACATCAAAGTGAGATAGGAGCAGCTTCTTGGTAAAGAGTGAGCCATCGGCCACCAATGGCGAACACCTAACACAAGATCCTGGAAAGAGACAGTCCTCTGATGCCATCTCCTGGAAAAAGGGAGATTTTGTAATTGCAGCAAAGTTTGAAGCCAAAATCGATTTTGTAATTGCAGCAAAGTTTGAAGCCAAGATTTTGGCTACAAGATGCTGGAAATCGTCTGCAATGTCCATTGATAGCATCTCTCCGCTCTACGTAATCACCATCTGCTTGATCATCACTACAGTAGTATTCTTTCTGTGGGGTTTGAATGTATCCAATGCTATTTCGCGTAGCTAACAGATTGCATGAAGCAAGCATGTAAGGGAAGCGGAAGCACAGCAGCCAGATCGATAAGGAAATCAGAACGCATTGCAATCACCTTAGCATCAATAACAAGCTCTCACCGTCCAAAAACTCTTGAACTTGGAGCAACAAAAACTGTACGAAACTTCATAAGAATGTGAAGGAAGAAAAACAAGTCTGCTGTGAACCTAAAATATGTGATTAACACTGAAAGTTTTCTGTCGCTGGATAAGCAGACATAAATAACGTCTGAATAACTCTGTCTCTGTGCTTGGGACCGACATAGGGCAGGAAACAGTAGAGAGGGTCGATGAAGAGTGCAACGATTAAAGTGATAAGGAAGACATGTTTCCCATACGTGCCGATGTCTCTGTCAGGATCCAGGATGTGATTTCGCCATAGGATTTGGAGAGGGTTAGGATCTGTTAAGCTGATAGCATGTTGGTGGTGACGCCTGAAGCGGCGGAACTTGGCTGTTGGCCGAGAAACGAGGAAGGGACGGGGATTGGCTGGCCTGCTCCATTTATTAATTTCCTGTTCCATTTCTAGTTCGCTGAGACCCGAAAAATCATGTATAACAATTTTGTCAAGAGCTTGATTTTCTCTATGTTTCTACACCAAATCTTGTTACTCTTTGGATTCTTCAACTTTCACTTGCTCTTATTAATTGAACTCGTCAAGATTTATTTATCAAAAGTTAAAATAAAGAGTTGCAGAATTCATCTGAAGAAAGGAATTGCGACAGGGCACACAAAAAAGAAAAACAATTTGCATGTTCATCAACTGACGATTATAGATGTCGGCAAAAGGATGCAACCATGACACACTTGAGCCACACGAATATTAACTCAGTTCTTGTGAGGATGGAGAGTAATCGGAAGGCTACAAGCTGGCATCGGAATAGACATGTATATGATCTTTTCGTCTTGAGTCACTCTCTCCCATTTGAATTGTGTTACCACATTGTGCATAAAGACAAGAATCGCCAGCCGAGCATATTCTTTTCCAGGGCACATTCGAGGTCCTCCCCCAAAAGGTACAAAACTGTATGGTTCAATGTCCTTCCCCTCAAATCTTGAAGGATCAAATTTCTCTGGATCTGGGAAATATTTGGGATTTTTGTGTGTTGAATGTACACTCCAATGCACCTGCAAAGTACATATGATATCCATGATAAGATACACTATTTCTAACAATCCAAGCGTCCAGCTTCATGAATCACAACGAATATTGAAACTGTATGTTGTGGATATGACATGCTTGAAATCATTTGCGGAATGTTTTGGAAGCTAACAGCTGCTCTGCAAAGCGCGAAGGCTATCCTGGAGATGAGGAAAGGGGTGCTGTAAAATATTAGTTATTGTCAACCATGACATACCTTCCATCCCTTGGGAATGGTAAAACCTGCATAAGAGAAGTCAGTTATGGCCTCTCTAAATCCCCCTTGACCAGGCGGAGATAGTCTCATGACCTCGCAAACCACACACCAGGTATATTTCATCTTTTGAATATCATTCCAAGTCAACGACTCTCCTGGAGCTTTCAACTTTTGAATCTCCATTTGTTCTGTGAAGCAGATAGCATGATATATACGATGAGTTCATAAAAACCACCAGATGAAATAAAGCGTTTCAGCTAACATAATATACACCTCCATTGCCTTTTAATCTTATTTGGTGTAAACCAAATTATCGAATCAGAACAGATTGGTTCAATATGTTGGCTTCGCATTCTCATTTCAATTCAATTTCGGTAAGGAAAAAAATCATAAAACCATTACAGTTTAGTTTGTTTCGGTTCGGTTTAGTTTGGATTCGAGAAGAAATCCAACTAAATAAACTCTAATTCATGCGGGGCAAGGCGAAAGATTTGAAAGATGAAGTAAAGAGAAAAGGAAATCTAAGAAGAGAGGAAAAAGAGTCGAAGAAGGGAAGAAAAATTAGTAAAGGAAAATAAAAGGTCTAACTTTATCAATTCATCATTTACCGACTCAAATAGTAAAATTTTAAACAAGAAACGATTAGGCCAAGACCTACCAAAAATAAATTAAAATTCAAACCAGAGCATCATCAAATTTAATAATAAAACTTAAATAAAAATCTAAATAAATTAAAATCAATAACATAGTCTAAACCCCAATCTCACAACCAAAGAACAACGGTTGTTTGATACCTCTATCACCTATAATCACATGCATATCTTAATTATATTAGTTTAATATGTTATGTAGTCAATCGATCAGTTACACGTTATATTATTATATTTATGTAAATATATATTATAGTCAATCGATTTGTATTATTATATTTATGTAAATATATATTTATTATCGATACAAGTTTAATTTATTTTTAATATTCTTATAATATTATGTTAATAAATCTAATATTTGATTTATTAATCTAGAGTAAAGATAAAATATACGAGATAAAAATATTTTACAAAAACAATTATAAAATTATTTTAATTATTGGTTTTTTATTGCATCAAATCATTGCTACTTGAACGTTCTTAGTCAATGTTTTTTTTAATACTAGATATTTATTAGAGTCATAGAGATTGTTAAATATTATGTTTTTTCATTTATGAAAGAGAGCAATTGTTTTTAAGTGTCATAAGACATGTATATTGAACTAACCCGCATGAGAATTTCATATGGAGAAATTATTTATATTTATGGAAAGGTTCACATAATGATTGTATAAATGATACTTAGACTTGATATCACTAAATTATCTTATATAGAGAATGTTATACTTTGATTTTGTTACATATTATATTAATTGAAGTAATGAAAGGGCATACATTGAGTATAACATGAATTATATGAAAGTACTTGAGTTATTAAGAAAGGATTCATCACCCTTAGTGAATTAAAAAACCTCAATCTAAATACATGACACAATAAAACGACTTGAGTTTACTTTGGTTAACCCACATAACACGTGACTCAAATCATAAGACCGAGATAATTTCACATAAAACAACCCAAAATAAATCATGAAGCTTAATTCATAAAAAAAAATGTTAAAGGATAAAATAGTAAAAAAAATATCAATAAAAAAAAGATAAAAAAAAACTCGAGTAAATTGGTTTAACGTACTACTTGAGTTATAAGATCGAAATAATTTGATAGAAAGAAAATAAAAAAAATCATGAATTCTAATTCTTAATCAATTCAATATTGAATCATGAAATTAAAAAATAATTTGTTAATTAGAAAAGACAAAAAAATTTAAGTCTACTCACTAAATTTGTGACACAAGTTATGAGACCAAACTCACTACGTATAAAAAAAATCATAATAAATTATGAATCTTAATATCCAATAAATTAAATATTGATGTGTGGAATTAGAAAAAGAAATATAGATTTAAAAGAAAAAAAGAACATTATTGAAATGAATAATGTTTTGGGAGGTGGAGCATAGTAAAAGCACCATCTCTTTTAATTCATGCTATAATAATAAAACAACTTTGGTCTATATGAGTTAACCCGCAAAATACGTAACCCTAGTCATAAAATTAAAATAACCTCATAGAAAGTAAACCAAAATAAATTATAAAGTCTAATTCATTATCAACTCAATATTGAAGAATGAAATTAAAAAATACTAATAAAAATATAAAAAGAAAACTCGAGTCAATTAGATTAACCCACTAAACCTGTGAATCAAGTTATGAGACTAACATAACCTCATAGGAAACAAATCAAAATAAACTATGAAGTGTAATTCCCAATCAACCCAATATTAAAGGATAAAATTAAAAACAATATAAAAAACTATAAAGTGTAATTCCCAATCAACCCAATATTAAGAAACAAATCAAAATAAACTATGAAGTGTAATTCCCAATCAACCCAATATTAAAGGATAAAATTAAAAACAATATAAAAAAGATAAAAAAAAAAAAAAAAAGATCAAGTTAACCCGCTAAACATATGACACAAGTTATAAAATCGAGCTAACAACTTATAAAATAAATCACAATAAATTATAAAACTTAATTTTCAATAAATTAAATATTAAAGTATGAAATAAGAGAAAAAAATATAAATTTAGAAAGAAAAAAAACCCAAATGAACAACAAAAAAAAAACTATTGAAATGAATAGTATTTTGTGAGGTGGTAAAGAGTAAAATCATCATCTTTTTTAATTTATACTACTAAGTTATAATATCAGGATAACTTTATAGAAAGTAAATAAATAAATTTAATTTTCAATCAACCTACTATAATATCAAGATAACTTTATAGAAAGCAAATAAATAAATTTAATTTTCAATCAACCTAATATTAAATGATATAATAAAAAAATTGAAAAAAAAATCTAAAAAAAAAGGATCAAAATCAACTATTATTAACTTGTTAAACATGTGACTTGTATCATAATATCAAGATAAATTCTTAAAAAATAAATAAAAAAATTATGAAACCCACTGCAAATAGATTTAATTTTAAATTTTGAAATCAATAAAGAACAAAATTAAATTTATGTGATTATATATAAATCAACTAAAAAAATATTAAAAAATTATGAAATTTAATTTTAAAAATAATTTAATCTTAAAGAATAAAATAAAAAAATAAATTATTGAAAAGAAAAAAAAAATATATATATATATATAAAAGACACGGAACATTATTCGACTGAATTTATTTTATAAGAGTCGGTATGGTGATTTAAGCAAAAGTGTTTTGTTAATAATAATAATAACCGGTTGGGGAATTTTCGCAAAAAGAGAAAACAAAACAGAACTTTCAAGCAAAATTGTAGGTAGAACAAGGCTAATTCAAGGAGGCGAACCTTTCAAGACCTTCGTATAGACATGGGGATTGTTAGCAAGATAGTGCATGGCCATTGAGATTGAAGCACTGGTTGTATCATGGCTTCCAAACAGTAAACCAACAACCCTGTCAGCAATCTCCATATCATTCATAGCATTCTCATCTGTCACAAGAAGCATACGAGTCAGTAAATCAATAAATTCCGGCTCTTTCCTCTCTGATATTAGCTCTCTTCTCTCCTTCATAATCCCAAGAATCTCCTCTCGAATCATATTTCCTCCTTTGATAGCACGGTTGTAAGCTGTACCAGGAAAATTTAAAGGTAATGACAATATTCCTTTAGTAATAATATTGAAGTGATTTTGAAGCCTGGATACATGCTCGGGATCCTTGATGTTCATAAACAATCTACAAGCTAGTGAAAATGTGTATGTTTTGGACAACGGAAACACCTTCACTTGTTTATATGGAAACCAATCTGCCTTCAAGTGATCTTTTGCCATGGAATCCATCAGGGGAATGTAATGTTGAAGAGGTTCCGGCTTGAGAAATTCTGGAAGAAATTTTCGCAGTTTAGCAGAATCTTCTTTGTAAGAGTTACTGGCATGCTCAGGGGAGAACAAAATTTTCATAATTGAGTGTGGCAACCAGCCAGTGACACACTTGTTTTCACTCGAGTATAAGAACTTGTTCCCACCGGAACCACAGAACACGGCCATATTGTGCCCAAGAAGGGATGTTTGGAAAACTTCTGGTGAGTATTTACCCACCCTGTCATTTATAAACTTCTCCGGGGTTCCGCATCTGGCAGCCATCATAAAATCCCATGTTTCTCCGATGATCGGCCATCCGGTTTTCCCCGGCGGAAACTTTGTATTCCAGTATTTTCTTTTGTGTAGCAACACGATGAGAGAAAGAGATATGCAGAGGATGGAAAGGTGAAGGAAGCATGGAAAGAGGAGATCCATGTATGAAACACTTAGCTATAACAAGGGTAAGAAGCAAAGAATCGAGAGATGGACTGGTAATACAAATTGAGATAGGCAAGTGAGAGAAAGGCTTAATTTAGCCGTCTTGACGTCCTGGAAGTGGAAGAATTCTGTCCTGATATAATTGGGTTGCTTGAAACCGTGAACAAAATCATTCATGATCAATTATAAAGTCAAACTTCAATAACCAAAATATTCTATTTTATATATATATATATATAGCAAGAATCTGGATGCATGATATATATATGACTATCTATCTTACTGGATTAGCGTAACCAAAACTTCGTCTTTTTTTTAATGAAACTGACATGATTATAATAAAGTCCATGAACCATAGGTGTTGTTTGGTAATAATGAATGAAATATGTGCGAGTAAAAATGAAAGTTTCATTTTTGTTTTCTGCGTGTTTGAGTGGAAAGAATGAAATGAGAGAGAGTGAAATCTCATTAGATGAAAGTGGTGGGAATAGAAACAAAAAAATGAAAATGAATTTTTTTAAATGATATATTGTTTCTATTTATTATATATTAATTATTTTATTATCCCCGTCATCTCATTCATTTTTGCCTATTGATGATGGTGATGACATTTTTTTTCTAAAAAATATATTATTATTATTATTATTGTTATTGTTATGGCTCCACTGCTACTCCTTCTTGGAGCACAAAACGGAATTGACACAAAACATGCAACTCATGAAGCACTCGGGACCTCCGATGCAATAAAAAACAAAATATTTTCAAACTTGTTTGTTAAGATTATTTGTCAGATAGTGAGTCGCTTCAGTGTCAGCATGCCACTCTGGATCATATGCTTACTGATTTGGGCTATGAAGAGATTAGCTTGGGCATTTTGACATCGTGGTGGTGGTGCAGGTGGTGGTGGTGATGGTGGTGGTGAATGAGGATCATAATTTTTGTAGCAGCGAGAGGCAGTGTACCACAGGTAGAATTACATCGGCTTGATCCACGAACACGCCTTTTTCTTCGAACAATAGGGAAACCACGTTCACGAAAGCTGGCGTAGGTTGGATTTTTAGTAGCTATATGGACCAAGACAGCTGGTAAAGGAACTGTCTAAGAGTGGTGTTGAATATATGTGATAATATCATCATATGTTATGGGCTAACCAGCAAGAGCAAGATCATCAACCGAGCGTTTAATCTGCATGAAATAGTCAATAGTTGTCTAGGTGTTTTACGAGCATTAAAAAGCTGTGAGCGAACGATAATGGCTTGAGTTCGTGATTGGGAAGCAAAGACTGAGGTAAGGCCGGCAATCTAAACAACATATGACGAAGAACAATGGGCAGCTTGCAAGGATGTCATCAGTAAGAGATGTTATGTATGAACACAAATAGTAGGTGGCAGCCATGTGATTGCAATATAAGAGTCAATGGTAAGTACCTAACCAAAGAAATTGTTGCCCACCATTGTTGACCAAAGGAAGAAGTTTGTCTCCCACATCAGCTATAAATAGAGAGTGTCATTGATAGCTAGGCATCATCACGAAATAGAGAGAAACACTGAGAGAGCTTAAAAGAGAGAGTTGAGTTGAGTAGAGAAGTTTTTCTCCTCCTCCTTGTTTTGTTGTTTGTATTGCTTTTGAGCTTGATTAATACAAACCAGTAGCTCCGTGGAGTAGGCAAGTTGCTGAACCATGTAAATTGATGTATGTTTGAATGCTTGAATGTCCTAACAACTGGTATCAGAGCTTGTTCTTGAAAAAGAGGGTGTTTGATCCAAACTCAAAAATCAAAGTTCTCAAAACGTGTTTTTGAACATACCATCGTGAAGAGGAAGACGAGAGGAATCCACTGATGAAAACCCGGCGAAAAACTGACGTCCTACACGCCCGTACGCACCTGCACAGGCCACCACCAGCACTTCCCACGCGCACCGACGCGCCTCACGCGCGTCACGCGTCTTCCTCACCTGTTTCCTGCAATCTGAGCCGGGTTGACCTACCACGTCAGCAGACATGCAATCAGTTCTACCCTAGTCAGCAGCCACGTCACCTGCCACATCAGTCGCCACGTCAGCAAAAAATCCACGTTGTTCTGCCATGTCAGAATTGTGGGGGCCCGCATATCTTACGTGGCTGGCACGTCAGCATCCTGGGTTTTGATCCGGTGTGGCGCAG